TTGAAAACAAAATTAAGGTTACAAGCAAACACCATACGGTCTTGGGTCAAGCAGCATCTGACAAAGGTGCCGGCCGATCAGTAAAATATTAGAGCTCCCTTGCAGGCAAAGGGTCCCTTTCCGATGCTTATTGCATGCCCAGCCATCAACCCGACAGCAGTGTGTGTGTGTGTGTGTGTTGCGGAACAGTTTGCAGGGATCGATGTATTTTTTGTGGAACAGTTTGCAGGGATCGATGTATTTTACTTAACCAAATAAATCATTACGAAATTAAAAAGGTCTTGTCACGTCTTATTTTTAAATATTTTTTTATCGGAATAGTTGGAGATCCAACTTTCAAACGGATCATCCATTAATATCATTATTTTTCGAGAAATTAAATCCTAGGTAATGATTTCTGTAATCCAAGATCAATGATCAATGTCTACCTCTAGGAACAGGTAATAATGTAATCCAAGATCAGTGATCAATGATCAAAATCTTTGTTAAAGAGAATTAAGGGACGATAAATGGAGAATTACCTTGGAAGAGAATCCCAGCAAATAAACGACTCTACTCACGTGAGAAAATAAAAATACAATAAAATTAATTCGCGAGGAGTAAATACGGTACAACCAGTCTCAATGATATCACCACAACTGTTTGGTGAGGCGGGGTCCAACTCACCAAATAAAAGACACGCGCCCATTACTCTTTTGCGCCTTGTGCAGATTGCCTTACTCTGCAAATCCTTTCCATAAAATTAATTGTTTAAGAATTCCCGCAATTACAGGAATTATCTGGTCCAGAACCCTCCCGACTAGTCGTTAGCTGAGTAAAGGCTACTGATGACCTTTTTAGTGTGAGAGCTTTATTGGTCCACGTGTCAAGTGAGCTACGTGTCTAGTTGATGACGAGGTTTTAGTTTCTGGTTATTGAAACGGCGATTTTTGTGGTCCCATCTAAGGCCTGTGTCCTTTATGGGGGAGGACAGCCCCATGAGGAGGACAGCGTCTATGACAGACGAAGCACACACCGTTTCAGGGAAGACTCCATCTGTCTCCAAACCGCTTCCCTCTTTGTTTGCTTTTATTATGTTAGAGGCATGATTCTCATTTGACTCTTGCATGCTCCCCTAATCATGATATTCCTTCTGAGGTTCACTTCTTTTGCCTTCTCTTTCATTGCCAAATTCATGCTTGGAATTATGCCTTGGTGTTCTGGGCACTTTAACTTTGGTATATCATATTGTTATTTTCTTATTTGTTGGCTTATAAGATTATATATATATATATATATATATAGTGATTAGCTCTTAGTCTAATACTATATTTAGAAGAGCCAGATGCTTAGATATAACACAATATACATAACTTGTCAGGATTTTTCTTTTCTTTTCAGGTGACATAATTCTAGCTTGTTTTCAAAATGGGTTTGACAAGCAAATTAATATTTTATCTTCAATTACACACTGATTTGTCTAGCAAGATATTGGATTTTTGAGCTTGACATAATATAAGTTCAAGTGAGTATGAGTTTACCGAGTATTATATAAATTCAATATTAAATAATAAAATTTTATTTGTTTATTTATTTGATTTTTTAATATAAAATATTAGTGTCAATAATAATTATTTCTCTACATCACTGGGTATATAAAAATCTTCTTATGAACTATTATATTTTCATCAATATTAATATTAACTAGTGTCTATAATAATTATTTTTCTACATCGCTGGGTGTATAAAAATCTTCTAATGAATTATTATATTTTCATCAATATTAATATTGTGTAAGAAGTATTTATCATTTATTAATATTATCATGAAAAAATAATACTCTAATCTCTTTATTAAAACAACATATCAAGTTTAAAGAGTTATACACACACCTCTTTAATTACTAAGTGAAAGAGTTCACATTTTGTTTTTTTTAAATATTCTTAATTTACTTTGTAAAATATTTATAATACCAAAAACAAGAGCAAACATTGATATTATTAGAATATAAAACTTATTATCTCATTTATTATAATTACCTACTAAAAATTATAGAATTTATCTTTAAAGAATTCTAAACACTAAAAAAAAAAAAATTATTTTATAAGTGTTAAATTTTTCACCGCCATCATTTATTCCATGAGCTTTGAAAAAAAAAAGAGATAAACATGTGATTACCCTTGTTCAATCCCTCAAAAACCACATTTTCGTGAATATTGAATCTTGATAGGGTCAGCTTACCTTACCATGTTAACTGGACAGGAAGGAATGAGAACAGTTATCACTTGTACATTTGTATTTGACTATTAATATTCTATTCCAATTAAAGTTACTCTTAATTTTCTGTTCCAATTCAAAACGTTCAGGATTTATACATAATTAAAAATTAAATATCTTTAATGATGTGTTGATACGTGTAAATGAAAACGTCCAGGAAATCTCTTCGGATGAAAAAAGGGCGTAAAAAAATTTGGTTTAAAATCTTTTTAACCATATTAGTGATATTAATAATTTTAGGTGCTAGATATCTTTTTTCCGTCGAAGGTCCATCCAGCTGCACAAATAAGTTAATGTTTACTTATTATAAGTTGTATAATTTAATTAATTAGATTTTAAATTTATTTTATAAAGATTATTATTTTTAATTTTATAAATTTTAAAAATATTAAGAATTTATATCATTATTAATTTTAAAATTTATAAAATTAATCGAATGATATAAATTTTTTTGATTATCTATGTTAATAAAAAAAGAAAAGTGAACATTTGCCGCTCCCACTATTCTTTTTACGTTGTCCGGAAGAAGTTGTCAAATAATTATGGAAAGATGCATTGAAACTTGTCTGTGAATGGGAAGTCATGGCAACTAAAATTTAAAGCTGAATACGAGGATCCCTGTGGCCACGATTAGAATAACTACAGAATTATAAGCGATTACCAGAAATAAGGGACAGGAAATCTAAGAGACATTTCTTCCAGGCAACCCTGGCACCGCGCTTTGACCTGAGTTTTGGATTTTAGCCGTTTTCTTTACAAGCTCGACGTTTGCATGTAACCACGCTACGTAGCCAGGCTCCTGTTTTTGGCATTTAAAATAAATAGCGGAAACATGTTTTTTAATAAAATAATTATGACTCAGTTATAAATTTGAATATACTAAATAAGTTAGTTTTATTTTTTTATTTATTTAGATGATAAAAAATACATAATAATAATAAGTGGATTAAATTTAAAAAATAATTACAATAACTTTAAGAAAAAATATTTTCATAAAAAAACAAACAATAAAGTTTAATTTTTAACCCATTAAATATAAAAAAAAGCAAGTCATTTCTGGTTAACTCATAATATATAAAAAAAAGGCAAGTCATTTCTGGTTAACTCATAATATCTACAGTTTGTAAAATCAAAATAATTTGGTAGAAAAAAACATAAATAATCTCAAAACTAAAAAAAACATGAATATCAAGATGTGTTAATTTTTCAAACTTATTACTTAGAGTATTAAATCAAAAGCATCTTATTTGAAAAAAATCATAAAACTCGATTATCAATTAGTTAAAAGTTGAAGGATTAACTTTGAAAAAAAAATATCAATTACACAAAAGGATCTAAAATAAACAAAAAAATCATAATTAAAATAATAGAGATCAAAGTTAAAATAAAAAATAAAATTTATTTTTTTACTAAAAGATGACATTGAAAAGAAAAATTAATTGAACCAAAAATAAAAAACAATTAAAATGATGATGACCAAATTTGAAATGAAAAATAAAAATAATTTTTTTAATTGAATGATGGAATTGAAAAGAAAATTCAATTTAATAAAAAGCTTAAAAAAATGAAGATGACGAGGATCAAATTGGAAAATATAGACGGGATAATAAAATTAAAAATAAATAATTAAAAAAAAATATTAGAAGTTTAAATAAAAAGTTAAAGTTAAAATACCAACATTTTCAATGGAAAAAAAAAAATTACCAATGACAAATCAGACCAATATCACGGATACACACCATACTATTAAAAAAATAATATAGCAGCACTTTATTTTAAAATGTCAGGAAATGACACATATGCTGCTCATAGGTCACAAGTGCCTCACAAGCATGCATAATATACAATACGAGCCCCAAACTTTTTCTTACATACTTAGTTAAATACTAAATTGCCCCTCACTAGTTTTATTATAACAAAAAACCATTGTGAATAGATAAAGTCTTTTTAAAGTTAGTTTTATTTTTTTGATTTTTAATGGTATTATAGTTGTTTCACCATGTTTTTCTTCTTTTAATTTTTAAAGATTATTTTGAAAAAAAACCCAGTCCATTAAATATACTGCGAATTAAATGCCTCCGGTGAATTTAAAAATCATTTGGCTAAGTTTCAACGCGGGGCTAAAGAGAAACTTCGGAAACATACGGTTAAAAAAATAAAGGAAATAGAAACTTAACAGACCTAAAAGAAAAAAAACTTGAAAGCTCGAAAAAACGAAAAGAAAAATGTAAGATCCAAAGATAGAAAATTGCAGCACCACAGATTAGAATCTGCATCGGTGGAGTTCTTACTTTTCGAATTTGAGTCGTTTTTTCTGAAAAAAAAGTGGAATTTTCTCGCAAGAAGCCAAGAAGTGATGCGTATAAAGATTAAATTCCTACTGGCAACGTTTCTTTAATTACCCTCTCTTCAATGCCCTCCCTCTGTCAGTCTTTTATACATATATTAATTAACGTAAAATTGTCTTTCACAAACTGACAATGAGTGTTTTGTCCCCCCTCTTTCCGGGATTATCTGGCCTTTTAATTAATTAGAATTTAGAAACAAATTTGAAGCTTCTCATTTTCGGAGTACAAATCAAATCAAACCACATAATTGACAAATCCACTCTAATTTCAGAAAATACATCGATTAATCACCCAACGAAGAAAGATTACTACCTCCACTCTACCAATCATATCCTAACATGGACAGCCAAGCAATTTGGAATCTGCCCTTGAGAACAGTTATAAGAACACCCACAGACAGAAAAGGTCCCACGCGCTAGAAAAAGAAACAAGAGAGAAGGGAAAAGAGAGCTAGCTAGCTTTCTCTTCTCCGTCGTCACCTCTTTTTTATCCTCTCTCTCAAGCGGAACCGGTTGATCTTAAGTGTTTTACAGAGAGAATAAAAGAAGTCCGTCCAGTATGGGGAAAGAGAGATCAGAGAAAGAGAAAGTTGGAGGAGGAGAGCATAACAAGAGGAATATGTTCGTGTCTTGTGTTGTAATGAACTCGTGTGCTGCAGAGCTTAAACTTGTTTTAACAGCTCTTTTAGTTCTTTGCAGTATTGCTACTCTTTTCCAGATTCTTCCTTCACGTTTCGCCATCTCTGCTTCTGATCTCCGTTTTTGCATCTCAAGAATCACCACCACCACCACCACCACCACCACCACCATTGCCCCCCTCAACTCCACCACCACCACCATACCTCTAACCCCATCTCCACCCTCCGCTCAAAAAGATCAAGTGGCTGACAATGGTGTTATAAAGCGAGTATTTAACCCCTATGGTTCAGCTGCTTATAATTTCATCACCATGGGTGCTTACCGAGGTGGACACAACACTTTTGCTATTATAGGCCTTGCTTCTAAACCTCTCCTTCTCTACTCAACACCCACTTACCAATGTGAATGGGTCCCTGAATCGCCATCTGCATCTAATTCTACATTCTCCACCGTCTCTTATAGGATCCTCCCTGACTGGGGCTATGGTCGTGTTTACACTGTTGTTGTAGTGAATTGTACCTTTTCAGAGGCAGTTAATGGTGAGAATTCAGGTGGGAAGTTGTTCTTGGAAGCCTCAACATCAGGCGGTGGTGATAAAAATCTTAACATTACTGATAGATTTGAGGTTTTAAACGAATCTCCAGGTGATTTAAACATGTCCCCTTTTAGTTCGAAGCCTCAATATGATTACTTGTATTGTGGCTCACCTTTATATGGTGGGTTAAGTCCACAAAGAGTGAGGGAATGGATTGCTTATCATGTGAGATTATTTGGAGAAAGATCCCATTTTGTGATACATGATGCTGGTGGGGTTCATGAGGAGGTTTTGGAAGTCTTGAAGCCATGGATGGAATTGGGTTATGTTACATTGCAAGATATAAAAGAACAAGAGAGGTTTGATGGGTATTACCATAATCAGTTTATGGTTGTTAATGATTGTCTGCATAGATATAAGTTTTTGGCTAAGTGGATGTTCTTTTTTGATCTTGATGAGTATATTTATTTGCCACCAAAGAATACTATCAAGTCCGTGCTGGATTCCCTCTCGGGTTATACTCAGTTCACTTTTGAGCAAATGCCTATGAGCAGCAAGCTCTGCCTCTCTGCTGATTATGGTAGATATTACAGGTATATCCATGCTCGCTCCCTTTCCATTTTCACTCTTATTTTATTTTTTTGCACAATTGAGTTTAGTTTTATATCAGCACGACTGATTTCAAGCAGTCAGAACTACAAAACGGGTCCTTTTTTTTTTTTTTTGTTCTAGTTTTTGTGATATATATATATATATATATTCTTGTTCCAGTTTTTGTGCTATATATATATATATATATGATTAAAAATAGAGATCTGCAGGTTCATAGAAAGGTCCTGCTAGCACAGTAGTGGTGAAGTTTTTATATGGAGAAAATTAGGTTCTAGGCCTTAAAAAATTGGGGTGGATTGTTGGTTGCTTGAGGCTTTTGGGATTTAGCTCATCAGTCGGCTGCTTTTAATTAGCTTGTTTTGAATTTTCTAGTTTTGCTGTTTGGTTCCTCTTTCTTTTCCATTCTGGCAATTGCGCGTGTATTTATTGGGTTTTTAACTTAACCAATGATTGAGCAAAATGTTAAGAGCATTATTGGGTTTTTGAAATTAGTATGATGCTTTACCCATTTGTAATGCGGTGGTTGCCGGATTGGAAAATTTTAGAATTGATGTTGAACAGACAAACAAATGATTCAGTGGTTTGCTCATGTTTGGAATTATTCTTCTGGTGTCGTAACTTTGATTTCTCTCTCGTTATTGTATTAGGGCAGGTGGAAGTGGGGTAGTTTGAATTTTGTTCCAACAATATTATCCTAGTAATTTCTTTACTTTGGGGCTTGTCATTTCTTTTTTTATTATCAATCTTGTGTTTGTTCAAGTGTCATTGTATTTCCAAGAATAATAAAAAACTGAGGCTCGATCGCTGATGTTCACTTCTTAGAATAAGGTTAAGAGTTCATTGTGGAATGGAAAATGGATCGTGGTGACGAAATGAACTTTGAAAATGAATGAAAATCAATTGGATAGCCGTGAGCGATGCTGACATAGAATATAATGAGATTGCATTGATGTTAATATGGATGGGAAATAGAGGATTGCTATGCCGAGGCGGCTGCTGCTGGGACTTGTTATGATGTGGGGTTCTTACCTCTTCACCGAAAATGTCTATGATTTTGATCATGATACTGAGTTCCCATAAGATCTCCCTGTTGAGAAACTTGATTTCAGGAATTGCTTTCATGCTGTGATGACTGATGTGTCTAGTTCCTCCCTTGAGATATATCGGATGCATGCAGTGTTTGGAATTTCGTTGTTACTGATTGTAAAATGTCTGCAATTTGATCGAATTGCATCCTGTTCCCTTCATAACATGTCTTGTGATTTTGCTTGGATTCACAGAAAGTGGGGGTTCGAGAAGCTTGTTTACAGAGATGTGAAGAGGGGCATAAGGAGAGACAGAAAATACGCAATCCAGCCGCGCAATGTCTTTGCAACTGGAGTGCACATGTCCCAGAACTTCGCCGGTAAAACAACATACAAGACCGAGGGCAAGATCAAATATTTCCATTATCATGGAACCATAGCACAAAGGCGTGAGCCTTGCCGGAACCTGCTAAATGTCACAGAGATCAACTTTGAAAACGTTCCGTACGTTCTTGACACCACAATGCGAGATCTTGCGTGGTCTGTGAAGAAATTTGAGCTCAAAATGATCGGACCCAAAGTGCCCCACCCCCACCTTTTGGCGGTTTCCAAGCGGCCTCGTCGTTTTCGGCATAAATTTTCCATCAACGACGGCCAGCTTTGGTTTTCTTTTTCAACGGTGTGAAAGGTTTTTTAACATGGATTAATTCTCAAGTAAACATGTGCTGCAGAAAAGTCACAGGCTGTAGTTTTCCTTTTCTTCCTAGATCGTCATGACAAGTCCATGTTGTGGGCGACAAAACTTTGGTCGCTTTCGAATGTCTCCGTCTAGCTCTTAACTAACGTGAAAAAGCAAAATGATTTTTCTTCTCTTATCATCATCTTATGATTTATTCAAGATGTTAGGTAAATTCTTAAGATTAATCTTCTTTCTTTTGTGGCATATGATTAAAGGATATATTATCAGATAATAATAAAAATTATATTATAAGATTTTATTCAGTAATTTAAGTTATTATATTAAATGATTTAAGTTATTGGATTGTGATTATTTTTTAATATGGTATTAAAATCTTAATAATCAAATAATTATAAGTTTGAATCTTATTATTTTTTGATAAAAAAATTAAATACAATATAAAATAAATTTATGTAAATTTAAAGTCACTTAAAAATTTAAAAAATTATGTTAAAAAATAATATAAATTATATAATAAAATCTTACTTGATTTCATTTAATAATTTAAATTGGGTTGAATTTATATATATATATTGATTGTATTTCCCACCCGGGACACAGATGGATTCAAAGGTTCACACGTAACCCCCCCTCTTGCCCAGCCAACCATGGAAGATGTTATAGATGCTTCGATAAAACATCGATTGCTAATTATTATTTATTCTCTTAAATGAAGACAGTTGTCACTTAAATGAAGATCCCATTAAAAAAAAAAAAACTATGGTATGTGCCTGTGTATTTTATCATATATATATTTCTTAGAAAAGAAAAGGAAATCTGATAGTCATAAATTTGGTTTGGTTGGCGGTCCCATTTCTACTAAATAATTATGTGCTGGATGAATTGGAACAATATTATTAGACAATCTTTTATATGCAAATATAAAAAATAATTTTTCTAAATAAAAAAATATTAATTTAATATATTTTCAAATAAAACACAAATTTAGAAGAACAATAAATACAAGCATTCAAAGGCTCTCCGCCGTACCAACAGCAATATTCTCTAGCATGTTCTCGATTCTTACCAGTGCCAGCTCCAGCTAGTTCAACATCTGCCCCCCATTCTCCAGCTATTTCTGAGAGAGTTTTCTGTCATGTAGCGAGTTAGTGACAATGAGCTTTCCTTTTCCTGTTGCTGTAGCATAGCATACTGCATAGTTCGTTTCTGTGCTTGTAACTGCTTTTAAGTGTGTTTAGCTGGAAAAAAAATATAGTTCTTTTAAGGATTTTTAATTATTTTAATGTATCGATGTTAAGGTAAAAATTCTGAAAGAAATATTTTTTTATATTTTTAAATAAAAAATATTTTTAGAAAACGAAATTCTAACTGAAATCATTTTTAATATATTTTAATTTTAAATTAGTTACAATAAATAATTATTGAATTATGATGTATAATAGTCACTTTACAAATCACTAATAATAATAATAATAATAATTGATCACATAAACCTGGTTCGTGCTTTCCACCCAAATCAATAATTAATCTTTAAGAGTTTTGTTTATTATACATAAGTTATGGTATTAAAATAGGTACAATCAAAGAACGAAAATTATAATGCAGGGAAATGAAAGCGACATGGTGTGGAGTTCCTGTAGAAGAGGACAGCCGTATAGGTTAATTTTTCATCCTTGGTTTATCATGCCAATGGTTTTGGCTTTGTATGCCAAGTAATTAGCAATTTCAAAGATAAAAAGTTAATTTTTCTTTCTTTCTGAAAAAGGGTTGAATGATCTCCATTGCTTGAAGTGCAGTGAGTATCAGACAGAGGAGTTCGATAGCTTGACACGATCACACCTCTGAGAAAATCTACTCCTGTTGTTGCTTTCTCCTTTTCTTCTGTTACAATATACCATCCACCATTGCCATTAATTTACTTAAGAAAATGGCAAAGCGATACCTCTTTGTTTATTTCTGTATTAAGCTATTAGTTATCTCTTTAATTTAGCTCATTATTTTTAGTTTTGACAGGGAGAGACAGAGAGTTGGAAAAGGTATACTTGTTGGGGAACAGCATCTCCAAAAAGCATTGCTTCTCTGTTTATATTCTTGTTCTATCCATTGTATAGATTAATTCTAGCTCATAAAAAAAAAATGGATTAACAGGGACAAAGCACATGAGGGCATGTGGAACAGGAATGTGGATTGTTCTTGACGATTTATGTCTGTCAGTCTGTTTGCGTTACGTTTTAACACAGGAAGGGACGAAGAAGGAAGAGGGATTGTTTTTTTCCAAAATTGATAACAGGGAACCCAACTTCAGCTGCTGTCAACTTTACTTTTTTCAGCTTCTAGTACTTGATTTCTGACAATTAATAACCAGCTCAGCAGTTTAGGTGAGTTTTCTGTATTCAATGAGGATGAACAGTGGCAATAAATCTTTCTTCACATGCATATACAATAATGCAACGGGCAAAAGATTTGTCACGCTTGCACTGGGCCTCTCTCACTTTGTTCCTACTCCAGGATTATATTATAGTATAAACAAAATTTAATTTTAAATTAAATATGATGACATAATTGTGCAGATAAAATGTAAATTCCATGTTGTATGTCAGAAAAGTGTGCAGGAACTATTTAGGATGAGAGATTCCAATGCCACAACCAATACTATAATTTTTATATTTATAGTGATTTTTTTTTATTGATAGTTATATTTATAGTCTTTCAATAAGAAACTTGCTGCCATAATCATAGAAAAACTTTACCCATTTTGATTTATTTATACTTTCATAGTTCAATATAATATATCATAAAAACTATATATTTTATTTTATTGGTGAATTTTATGTACAACTATCAAGTAGATCATTTATTATTCTATCAGTGAGTAAATATTAACAATGATATTTATAATAATTTCTTTTTAAAAAATCTATTAAACAAAAACTAAAACAACTAAACTAACATAAAATTCAAATATTTATTATAAATTTAAATTTAAATACAATTAATTTAGAATAGAGACGCTGAATGAGAAGGAGGAGACGAGTCTTCGCTTGGTCTATAAAGCGAATAAAAGGGAGCACATGTACTGACATTGATAAACAATTAATTGTGCATTTTTATCTAAGATGAAATTAACTTGGGATGTTGTTACCCATAACCTATTATAAATAACTTTTTATTTTTATGTTGACAAAACAAAGATATATTCATTCTAGCATTGATGTTGTCATTTATCTTCCTTTTAACATTTATAACCGTGTTGAAAATATTTTCAAATATATTCTTTACAACATTTATGACATTAAAATTATGATGGGGGATAGTAGTCTTTCGATAGGAAAATTCCTATAAAATACTTCGTTTTATTCAATTGTGGATCAAATCAAAAAAATAATTAAGAAAAATATAACGCACATAAATAGAACAATTAAAAGTAGAGGAACAAAATCAAATAAAAAATCAAATTGAATAAAATACCTACTGATAAAATTGAAAAAAATTCAAACTTCAAAAGGTATCAAAAGCCAAATAAATAATGATTAAAAGAATAAAAATAAAAATTGATAAGATTATAAATAAGAGGACACAAAATGAGAGTGACAAGAGAGAAGAAAAAAAATTATACTATAGCCCAACTAGATCCTCTTTATAAGCATGTGTTACACCGCGATAGAAAGAGAACGACGCACAACTTCCAATAAGAAGGTTGAAGTAGGTGGTGGCCAAGTGGTAAGGACTTGGGATCAAGGGGTTTGCTCCCTCTGTGGTCTCAGGTTCGAGTCCTTGGTTGCTCATATGATGGCCACTGGAGGCTTACATGGTCGTTAATTTCAGGGCCCGTGGGATTAGTCGTGGTGCGCGCAAGCTGGCCCAGACATCCACGCTAATCTAAAAAAAAAAAAAAAGATTGAAGTAGAACTTTGAGTCATGAGCCACTTAAATAGCATGAAGGTATGATGTGCTAATATATGTGTTAGGTTTTTTTTAATAATTTTTTAAAAGTTAAAATTATAAAAATATCTTTGATAAAATCTAAAAATAACAACAAAATTAGTTAAAGAAACCGAAACACTCTCGCAAGAAACCTTTGTGTTTTCAAATTATAAGGTTAATTCTATCATTTTATTATTTAATAATATATATTTGACCTTTGTTCGTATAATTCTATGATGAATTTGAGGGGCAGACAAGGGCAACAACAACGAAAATAGCTTTCATTGCCCATAATTTTTATATTTATAGTGAATTTTTTTTATTGATAGTTATATTCACTTGCTGCCATCATTATAGTAAAACTCTATCCTTTTTGGTTTATTTATACTTTCATCATTGAATATAATATATCATAAAAAAATTATATTTTATTTTATTGATAAATTTTATATATAACCACCAAAACCATCTATTATTATATGAGTGAATAAATATTAATAATGATATTTATAATAATTCCCTTTTAATTTCCTAAAATATATTAATGGACGATGTCTATTGGTAATCCTATTAGTAATAATTTAAAAATATATATTTTTTAAAAAATTTATTAAACAAAAACAAAAACAACTAAAACAACTAAACTAACATAAAATTTATATATATAAAAAAAAATCAACGAAAAATTTATTCCAATTATGTGGACAGCTGTATAAATTACTAGAACAGAACACAACATTTTTTTCCCCGGATTATGAAAAAGTTTAAATATAATTAATTTAAAATAAAAACACAAAATGAGAAGGAAGAGGCAAATCTTCGCCTGATCCATAAAACAAATAAAAGGAAGCACATGTATTGACATTGATAAACAATTAATTATATATTTTTATCTAATACGAAAGTGATTGGGGTTTTGTTACCCGTAACCTATCATAAATAACTTTATATTTTTATGTTGACAAAATAAAGATATATTTATTCTAACATTGATGTTATCATTTATCTTTCCTTTAATATTTATAATCGTGTTGAAAATATTTTTAAATACATTCTTTTCAATATTTATGACATTAAAATTATGACGGGGGATAGTGGTGTTTTGATAAGAAAATTCCTAAAAAATACTTTGTGGATTAAATCAAAAAAATAATTAAGAAAAATATAAAGCACATAAATAGAACAATTAAAAGTAGAGGAACAAAATCAAGTAAAAAATCAAATTGAATAAAATATCCACCAATAAAATTAAAAAAAATTCAAACTTCAAAAGACATTAAAAGCCGAATAAATAATAATTAAAAGAATGAGAACTAAAATCGATAAAATTACAAATGATAATTTTTTTAAAAAAATTTAAACGTGTTTTTCTAAAAAATAAAAGAAAAAAGAAAAAAAAAAGTTATACTACAGCCCAACTAGATCTTTTTCATGAGCACGTGTCACACTGTCAGAAAAAGAACGACACACAGCTTCCAATGCCAAGGTTGAAGTAGAGCTTTGACCATTGCACGATTCTTCATGAGCCACATGAATGGCATGAAAGTCATGACATGCTAATGTGTATGTTGGTTGTTTTTTAATAATTTTTTAAAAGTTAAAATTACAAAAATATATCTAATACAACCTAAAAATAACAATAAAATTAGTCAAAAAGAATGAAACACTCTCACAAGAAACCTTTGTTTTTTCAAATTACAAGAAAAATTCTATCATTTGACTATTTAATAATATATATTTCACCTTTGTTCGTATAATTCTACGATGAATTTGAGGGGCAATATCCAAATGTGCTCAAAACAAAAGCAACAACAACGAAAATAGCTTTCATTGCTTTCAGAAAATTAAGCTTTCCTCTTGTTGTTTTTTTTTTTATATATAAAAAAAATCAACCAAAAATTTATTCCAATTATGTGGACAACTGTATAAATTACTAGAACAGAATACAACATTTTTTTCCCCGGATTATGAAAAGATCGAATACAAACTTAGCTAACACCAGAACATAAAGGAGATACAAACACAACAATCTATCGCAGCTAAATTACAGGTAAAATCATATTTTCATTGATTTTTGGAAGAGAGACAGTGATATAAACATTATAGGGACAGGGCTACTGTTACTGTCATCTAATCATGCGAGGGGGAGTGTCCATGCCAGACGTCCATGGTACTGGAGGATGCAGGGTGGCTTTAGATGTTGGTCCCGATCGATGGCTGTTCGGAAATGCAGAAGGTATTGTTTTTTAAAATATTATTTTTTTAATTTATTCTTAACAGTAGTAGATCAAAATACTATTAACTGAGAGATTCAGTGAGATCTGATGGACGATCGAACCTTGGAAGGAGCTGATATGATTGTCGTCGGTTGCTACGTCGTGGCTTACTTCTGCATCCAAATTTATTACCGATGAACAGAAGAGAAGGACTTCATTATCTTTCTCCTGCACAAGTCTGAATATTCTTTGCAACTAAAAACACATGCGCAGAACCTTGTAAGACTCTGATCTCCTACCTAATTAAACTGATGGAGGCATCAGAGGGTCCAGGAAACTTGCTTCGTAGATTTTTCAATTATCCCAGCTCAGCCTTCTACGCTTTCAACTCCTACTAAATTTAAGAGGACTAATTTTTTAAATACACTCAGCAAAGAAATAATAACAGTTATTTTAGTTAATGTAATAATAATAATGATAATAATAATAATAATAATGAAACAAGAGTATTCCCTCAAGAAATAAAATATTTCACTCCTTAATTTTAAATATTGGATTCCTGCGAATATTTATTTTAGTTACCTTAGTTTTTTACTAAAAAATATTTTTTTTGTCAAAATAAAAAATATATAGATAAGGAATGAGGATATCAACTTAAGAAATATATTTTCTCCTTTAAGATTTAAATTTTTCAAATTCTTTGCAAATATTTATTTTAATTTTCATAAAATTAAATAAAAATTACTGGCGTAAAATCTATTATAGTATTACTTTAGGGATGGAGATAAGATTATTTTTATTGATACAAATCACTGATTAGGGAAAGAGGTAATCAACCAATAATCTAGTTGATTAATTCATGATTTTAAGATGATATTCAATTAATTAACCTTAAATTGGTAAGAATATATTTTTATAGGAGGAATATTTGCAAAGTTGATGCCCCATGAAGAATATTTTGAAAAGGGTTTATATACATTCTATATTGGCCAAAATGATCTCGTTGCTGGAGCTCTTAGTGTGTCTGTTGAGGAAGTGAATGCATCTGTTCCTGCTATGGTCAATGCATTTTCAACAATGTTCAGGTATGTACGTAACTCATTCCTGCTACTTTTCCTCATCTAAATATCTCCAATATTTTTTGCGAGAAGAATTTCAGTGCACATTTTCTTACTTGGCAACTTCATCAACTCGTTCAGCTAGCATGCATGTGCAGGGTTTACCATTTTGAGTCATTTTATCTCTTGGAATTATAGCAGCTAAAAGTAGTGGAGTCTTGTTGATGGATGCAGCGCATATACAACTGGGGAGCTAGATCGTTCTGGACTTCATAGCACTGGACCAATTGGTTGCCTTGGTTATATTTTAGTTGGTTTTCCCGCAGCAGGGAAAGATGATGCTGGTCGCGCAAAGCCTTACAGTGAAGGAGACGGTATTTCAGCTCAGGAAAGATTTTCCAGCATCTGTATTCACGTATGTAGATGTCTATTCTCTGAACTATTCTTTGTTCAGCGAACCTGAAAAATACGGTATTATTCCCCTTAAACTACACTAAAATCGCATGGAAAAAAATTATATCAATTAGATTAACAACCTGCAAACAGCTTTTTGTTCATTCTAAAATTGTGATCTTATGGTCTTACAGATAAATTTGATGTGATTTCTCTGCAAATTGTAGGATTTGAGCTTCCTCTTGTAATATGTTGTTGTTATGGCAACAAGCATGCCTTTGGCAGTACTGCGGTATGTGGAGCAATCTTCACAGTAAAGGGTACACACAGAAAACAGTAGGTTCATGTGATCGCCCCTTGTTATGGGTAGTTTGGGATGGATATTGATTCCAAATTTGTCAACTGAAAACTCTCTTTCGATAACTTTGTTGAAAAACAAAAGCTATAATTTGTAGTTTTTTTAATTTATTTTTTCAAATTACAACCACAAAAACTATCATAATATCAAGCAACTATAAAAAGGAACTGGGTAGTTTTCACTTTCTTGTACAACTCGATCTCATTGTAATTAAATGGAAATGGAACCTGACCAAGTGCAAAAGATCACCTATCCATAGATGCTAAAAACTTTCATGCTGGTACACTTGACACTGGAAAAGTTTCACATAAACCTGAAGAAGATCATGCGATTAACCCAGAAAATGAAACAAAAGAACAAGAAAAGGAAAAATTCTAGTACAATTATCTTGTTCAACCTTCTCTGGCTTATTTCCAGAAGATGGCTGGAAAATGAAGGATGCGTCACATTCTGGTAAAATCTGTCATCCAAATCTGCATAATTGCAACGAACTGGGAAAACATAATGCTTGAAAGAAAGTTGGCAGAAAGATTCATGCACTCTGCGCTTCTAAAAAGGCTTTGAATTCCTCCCTAGCCTTCTGCAAGCGAGGTGTAATGCAAGAAGTTGGTGAGGTAGGGTGCGATGTGGGCGATGATGTTGAAAACCTAACATGACGAGACAATTCATGGGATTTCCTGGGTGCTGCTCTTGTTGAACAACTCTTGAGAACTTGTTTTTGATCCTTGTCAAAGATGAAGGCAGCAGCAACCGGTGAATTTGCATCATTCGCACTAGCTTGGATCAACTCTAGTGGCAAATCAAAGTAAAGATTCTTGGAGTCGTCTTCATGGTCATTTATGACGGCCGATGAAGCCCATGAACCACATTCAAATTTTTCCACAGAAACTGTCCTGGATATTACATTTCCCAAATCTCCTCTCACTTCTTCCTTTTTGGGTCTCACTGGTTTTCCCTTTGCAAAGCCTGGAAGGTAGAAGCATAGCACACCACATTTCAATCCATCATCAATAGGATCCATGTTTTTAACAGTTATGTGATCTTCTTTGCTAGCCTCAATTTTGAAGTGTCCATGAGGTCTGTTATCAGATTTGCTAGCATTTGGTCTGGGGAACCAAAAATTAAGTTCGTCAGCAGGTGCAGCTGTCCTTCCTTCTACGCAAGACTTGTTCCTTCGCAAGTGAATATCTTGTTGAGCAGCAAGGGGAGGATGTGCTAAAGAATGTCGACCAGCAAGATTGTCAATCTGGCGGGGAGATGCTTGGCTTTCATTTTTCCATTTCTTCTTCAACATTGTCAAGCTGAACCGAGGGGATGAGCAGGCTGAGCTGGGGAGGCTGCCTGCTATAATCTGGGATGTTGCAGGCAGTGCAGGTGGTAGCAGGTCCGGAGTTGGTGCAGTCGACACAGGCAGCAGCATGAAATTGAAGCTAGCCTCTCTTCTTGATGACTCTCTCAACGAAACTGGATCCGCTGAAATCTGCTTTTCGTTTTGCATGCTCTCTTTTCTAATCAACTTTTTAGATTCTTCAATAGCCATGGATTTGAAATCGTGGAAATAATCAGCAGTAATAATACAGAAGTCTAGATCATCAGAAATTTCAAGTGTTTCATGAGTGCCGTTGTTTGAGGTGGGAAGGACAGTATCTGAAGCTGGGAGGACCATGGTGTTTCAGGTCACAAACTAGCTAGCTATGAGAATGAAGTGAGAGATTAGCAACTAATAAGAAAGGTCACAAACCTGGCAAAGCGAGGACGTGGGCAGCAAGTCACAAGCGTCAAAGGGTAGTGAGTTCCATGTTTTCCCTGCTCACTCATATAAAAAACGACTTATATAATATTGCAAAAGAGTTAGCTTCCTTGGTTACAATCTCAAATTAGATGAGAGTGGATTTACAATTTTCAAAAGGAGATCATGTTATTATGCCCTCACAAAGATGCTCACCATAACCAGCGTACAGATTCAATGAACGAGGCAGATAGGACCTGGCTTGTGCTCTTGAACAAATATTGCAGTAATGCTAAAGGTTGTACGGTCTCATTTATCATATCAACCAGCAATTTCAACAAATGGTTTTGCTACTAGAATCATATTATGTCTTTTCTGTTTTCCATATATGAAGTTATAAACCCATATGATAAATAAAACATATTTAACAGTGACTTTCAACTGTGTTAGAGTAGTTTCTTACCACTACAAATGTTTCATAAGTATAAAATTTTAAGAGCTAGCTGTATCATGCTTGCATAAGCATCGGCACCACATAAATAGCAAGCTCAAGAGGACCAGCCAGACCATGTTAATTAAACCCAGCTGCCCCGGGCTCAGGTCCGCAGGTTAACCTGATTGACTTTTTAATTAAAATAATATTATTTTATTTTTAAAATAAAAATAATATTACTTTCTAAAAAAAATAACATCAGACCAGTTTTTCAAACCAGTTTGACTTTTTCAACTTTGAGTTGATTTCTCTTTTACGCCCGTCCAGGCTGGGGGACTGGGTTTACTAGGTCCTGGGTCAACCTGCTTATCCAAGCCAGGTAAGGTTTAATAAATGTGGTTTCCAGGCTATTGTATAAGAAATAACACGCAAACAGACGACCCTTAAATGAAACACATTAAACTAATCAGAAAGAGAACAAACCATAGCTGGTTCGTCATTCAGGCCAGTATACTCAATTTCAGCAGCTGAATCCCATTCAATTTTCAATCTCTTTGCAGCCTCTTTAGGATCTTTACCATTGTCGGTGGCTTTTGCATAAAGGAATTTGCCTGGGTTTGTCACTGGTGCCTCAACCTACTCAATGAACATGGCGTGTATTAACAAAATTCTCAGACAGACGGCACAAAACCGTTGAGGAATACATCAATGTTTGGCAGAGTAATTGAAATCGAAGTGAGTTTAATAACAAAGAAACAACATTATTGAGCTAATTTGTAGTACAATATTCAGCTACAAGAACATTGAACAGTAAGTGGATTGAATTAATAATAAGCAAACGAAATTCCCTCGCTAAAAAGTATGTCTCTGTTTTTCCTGAGAAGCTCCAACACCTAATCAAATGACACAGATATAATCAATTGGTAAAAACATTTTTTTAATATATATATATATATATATATATAAAGAAAAACAAGAAAAGAAGAAGAACAGTGAGTAGACAGGAAATGAAAGAGACCCTTTTGATATCTCGAACATACTGGAGTTCTTGAGGGCTAGGAGGAGGTGCTTCATCTTCTTCCTCTTCTTGGTCTTGGACACGCGATTCTACGTCTTCTTTACGAATCAACAAATGACGAGTCTTTCTCCTTCTCGATTCATTATGGTAGAGGAAAATCTTGGCCAATCTTATCGTCATTCTCTCATTCAAAGGTGTGTATTGGTGAGGGTGAAAGCAGAGTGAATTGGAATGTGAAGAAGAAGAAGAAGTTGGTAAAGTTGCAAAGCCATCATTAACATTATCTTCTATCTCTTCAGTATTGTCTATAGCAAGAAGAAAAACTAGTAGTAACAGTACTAGTTACTGATTTGAAGTTGATGATACATGTCTGTGTTGAGCATTTGCATTTTAAACTCTTCAAGTTCATTGTTTAAGAAGGTGATGGTTCCTGGTTGCCATAAAAACTGTCCCGTTAGATTTCGTCGCCTATGGCATTAGCATAGCATGCTAGCCTTTTGCAGTTTTGCCATTCCAAGTTTACGGCCCAAAAATTACTCCATATTCATTGGGCTTGTGTTTCGTCAGCCAAGCCTGTAATAATCAGTTTGGAAAGGGCCCCCAATCACTCCTATGTTTGTTTCCACACAAGCTCTTATGAAAATGATTTTGTAAGATTTATTCGATTTAATTCAACTGGACTAAATCATATAGGATGAATTCCAATAAAGATTTTTTAAAACATTTAAAAAATAAAAAAATTGGTTATTTTAATTAAAAAAATTTGATACCCTGAATATACTTAAAGAATAAAAAATCCAGAAATATAAACAAATTTTGGCAATCCTCAGTCATTGAATTTTGTAAAACTATTTAAGATACAAAAAAAAAATCAATATTTTCCAACAAACTTAAACTTTTCACATTGCTATGAAAAAAATAAAAAATGCTCAATCATTAAATTTTTTTATAAATTTTAAATTTAAAAATCTTTCTTAGTAAGAATAATAATTTTTCAAAATGTTAAGACATAAAAAAAATTGAAAGAACTTAGTTATTAAAAATTGAAAAATAAAATAAAAAATGAATTCAAAATATCTCATCCATTAAATTTTCTCAAAATTCTAAAAATAATCATAAACTTAAGAAAGGAAAGAATACTTTCAAATGCATTTACTAAAAAAAATCTCCAAAATGTTCAACCACTAAATTTTTTGAAAATTTTTAAGAATAAGAAAATAGAAATCTTGAAATCTTTAAGAAATAAAAGAAAATATGAAAATTATCTATAACTAAAATTAAAATTAGAAAAGAATAGGTTTTAAATTAAAAAAAAATGCATGTCGAAGTATGAAAAATACCAAAAGATACATTTTGTTAAAACATTTCAACAACAATATTGATAACACTTTTAACATTTATTTTTATTAAAATCATGATTTAACTCGTAAAATTATTTTGATAAAATCTTACAAAAATAATGTAATTCTAGAAAGTGGGGTGAGCTATCTTTTTCGAGCTAAAAATGTAATTTCACAATCTCGTGAGGGCGATGGTTCATATTTGAGTGAATGGATGCCATTGCTCAATTATGTAATTCTCAAAATTAGGTATTTCTTTTAGTAAATGATGAAGTCGACAGAACTTGAGGATTGGATTTGATTTTTCATAACTTCATGATAGCTTCAAAATGAGTCGTAAATTTTGTTTTTATGCTTGATTGTTCATGCAAAAACAAGTTTTTTATTGAAACATAAAATCCTATCGTACTTAAATTAATAAATATTTTATAGATATGGATCATATTAACTTATTACTTCGTGAAGATCCTGCTGGGCTCCTCCCCTTAAAAATAAAATAAATAAATAAAAAAAGCCATGCAAGTAATAGTTTCTCTTCATACAACTCAAATCATTCAAAGATGCCTAGAGAGGTAGCATATCCTTAATTGTTAAAAGAATGCAAACATTTGCGAAGCCTGTGCCTTCCGTGCATAATTTTATTATATGTTTTTTCAACAAGTCGTTTATAGAGTGGATTAGAGATAAACTTACATAGTCATATGAAGAGCTTGTGAAGAAAATCTATTCTAAAAAGCATAAAGGTGTCATTAATTAAAAAAAAAAAAGATTACCAACAGGGTTAACATATTTTATTTGAAAATGTGATCTTGAAAATATAACAAGAAACTTCGCCTTCCCTTTTAAAACTAGTAAAAAGCCCTCCAAACCTTGTCCTTCGCGGTAAAGACCTTGCAGATTCACCAGGCCACCATTCTTAAGCAGGCCCAGTCTGCATAATTCTGAATATGATCCATCATAGTTCACAAGTCTTTTTCACAGTACTTCAATTTCTGAGTTCTCTGGGATCATCATTACTCTCACAAAAGACCTATCATGTCAAGCACCGATCCTTATCTCAGCCTGGAACAAAAACAATGGAAAGCACCCCATCCTTATCGAACCAGGCAAATTGATTCTTATCCAATTTAATCATAGCTCGAAAAGAAATCAATACGATCAAGGGTCTCGCTTTATTTAACGATGATCATCATCTGTGTGTATAGATCGCAGGTAACTGTAGCACTGTGAGGTTAGCTGGGGTCGTCAAGCATTTATTTCTTCTCCTTCTTTTTTCTTTACAAGTGTTGACGATGCAACTGGAACAATTTATATTAATCCATCGTAGGTTCTTTCGGGTTTTCTATTTAAAGCTTGCCGTGCCTAGCACACTTGGAATCCCTCTCCCATAATTCCTTTCACATTTCTAATGTGAGATCAAGTGGGATTTTATTCTTGGTGGCAGCTAAATGATTACGCGAATACGATTATTATTTTATTCTGGGCCTTTTTTATGATTCATTGATCATAGGATAATTTAATCTCTTTAGCTTTTAAATATATAATCTTTATCCATTTAAATAAACAAGTTAAAGTTAACAGATGTCAATTTAATCTATGATCGATTTATCTCAAACAATATTGTTAAAAAAAAGGTTGATGATGGAGCGGTTTTAGTGAAATTTTTTCTTTTTTTTTTGTTTTGTCAAAATATAAAAGTCTTATTTAATATTTTTTTTCAATTTAATTTTTATTTATTTACTTGTTATTTGATTTGTTTTTTTATCATTTTTTATTTGTTTTTTTCTTTAATTTCTTCTTTTGTTAATGGTTTGATTTAATTGTTATATGGTCCTTATTATTTTAATTATTATTTTACTAATTAATTATTTTTTAATTTCATTATACGGTGTTTGATTTTAAAAAAATATATTAAATTTAGTTTATTTTTTTTATTTTTTTTGTTTTGAATTTTTTATTTAATTACTTGAGAATTTTATTTTGTTATTTTTTAAGAATTATAAGGTTAGTTTTAAGTTTATAACTAAGATTATGAATTTTGAATATTAACATAAATTGAATTTTCAATATATTTTTATACTTTTAAATATAAAATATCATATCTTTAATATTCTCGTGTATTAAAAAAAAATCTTCTAAGAACACTGGAATTAAGATATATTAAAAATTATAAGTTTATTAAAAAAAAAAATTTTAAGAACCTCTTATATATTTTTTAACATTATAAGTTTATTAAATTTTTTTTTTTTAAGAACCTCTTATATATTTTTTAACTAATTTTATAAATTTTAAAAACTCATAATTTTAATCCTTATTATAGATTTTAATTTATTTTTTTATCAACATAAATATCTAAGCCAGCTTGAGCATATTTTATTATAAAATTTTAAATTAATAAATATATAAATCTTTAATAATCTTAAAATTTATAAAAAATAAATTAATAACCCCCCAAAAAAAAATCTAATCCATTCATCTACAATCATTAAAATTATCTCGGTTCACTTTGAAAGCACAGAAAGAAAGCGTGGGGCATGGATTCCTCTTAAGATTTACAATAACATGATTGTACCTTAATACGGCTTAGTTTTGCTGGGGGGAATGGAATAAAAATATCTTGGAACCCTTTTCCTTTTGTGTCAGAAAATCTGGATTGGTCATGAGACACCAGTTATTTGAATGACTCAGGATGGTGCGCAATTTGTTTTTTTTTTTGAAAAATTCCGTGCGCCTGGGCAGCCCAAGCGCAGGGAATTTTAACCTGTCTTCGTGCCGGGCGCCAGCTCAGATATTTTTACCCTGAGCTGTCCAGTTCTACCCCGCCCATTCCTCAAGATATTTTTTCATCCCCTAGAATTGTGCACCTTGCAATTTTTTCGATGCAGAGGCTGCATGTCTTCTGCCTGCTCGTAACATCTCCACGCAAGTATATTTGGAAGGGTGAGTATGCAAATGTTACAATATTTTTTATTTAAAATATATAAAAATAATACTTTTTATATATTTAAAATTTATTTTTTATATCAAAATATTAAAACAATCAAAATACACTAAAAAATAATTTGAAATAAATGCTTTTTTATAAAAAAACAGGTTGAAATTTAATGTCAAGTATCCCCTTAAAGTTTGTCATCTTGAGTATTTGGTGTCCGGTGTCGTGAAAAGATTTATTTTTTAAAATTTTTTATTTAAAAATATATTAAAATAATTTTTTAATTTTAAAAAAATTGGTTTACACAACGTAAAAATAACTTGGTTATTTTATGGTTTAAATTTAAAAATACAAAATAGAAGCCTAAATAAAAGTGGTTCATGTTTTAATTATATAGAAAAACAAAAATCTAATAAACATGCTAATCAATTTTCCTACATGTGATTTTTGCAACTAGAAAAATCATTTATCACATAAATACAGAACATCTCTAAAAATATATGTAGATACTGAAAAGATACCATACCAGACAAACAAGGACGTGATATTAAAAGTTATGTTAAAAGTCTACCTAGAAATAGTTGCCGTAGAAATTCTAGGAATGAAGAAGGAAGGAAAGTATTGTAATAAAGAAGGAATACAAGCCATGGAGTCCGGATTCGAATTCCAGCTCTAGCAGTGGAAAAGAAGAGCTCATGACAAACATGGAAAAGCACGGCCCAAACACACTGACAAAGGATTCGTCCGGGAAGCTCTCGTGACTTACAGTGACAACCTGCACGCTTATACTTGAGATCTAGCTAGGTAGCTAGGACGAATAGGATCCACCGCCAGTGCTATAATGGAAGAAGTAGTACTACAGGTGTCATCTTTGATCTTTTTCTTTTAGCTTTGTTCATCCATATCGTGTACATGTCATGAACTTTATGCAAGCTTAGCTCAACTCTTTTGAGATGCTCAGGACAAAGGGGAAAAAGTTTGAGATATGTATCCTTTTTGGATCTCGATCGACCATAGATTTAGGTTCTCGATCTCCTCGTTTAATTGCTTAATTCGAGAGGATCATTTTTGTATTAAATTTAAACACGATTTTATTAGGTTGATCATCTTGTAGTGTCACCATGAGCTAAGATGTTGCGGACTAATTAACTCGCATGATTCATGCTACTGCAGGTAATTTCAGGTTCACGGTTTGTT